ATCCTCGTAATAACCTTATCATTATACGTCTTTTCTTCCCAGGAATACATCATGGGAATGCCAAAATTCAAAACGTTTAGAACAGATTTAGCGAACTTCTTTCTATCCGGTCCAGTCAAACCCTGGTGCAGCCATGTTTGTTTTTTATTATTAGAGAACAGTTATGCGCGCAATCGTTCCATATTTGAATTAGTCTTTCCAAATATGGTAGGATGAAAATACCCAGTGCAATACCGCAAAAATGTGGCTCGCTGTAACTTATGGTGTTATGGTGACAGATGTATAATAGTAGCTTTTATTAGTGTATGCCACTTGGCAGGATTTTCATACATTATGAGATGGTGTAAAGCAAATAGACCTCATTTATAAAAGGCCACCGACATCTTGTTGAAAGCCAAACAGCATCAAAAAATTAAAGTAAAGTTAAAAACAGAATATAAATGAACATCAGGACATGCAGCAAACAATACCTAGCGAAATATGGCCAAGAATAAGCTTCTCATAAATAATAGCCGCATTACTAAATCGTTGTTGTGGTATCAAGACCACTTTTAATTTGTATATTTTTGTGCATGTTTTTGTAGAAAGAAGTGAATCGGAAGGTGAAAGCCAGAGTATCACATTATAAACGACTATGGGCTGGACAGGTAAACAATGAATTGCATGTATCGATTTGATAGGACCTACATATAGTGATATAGAGTTGAGTGCAGTAAATGTGCAGTCTTACCCTCTCATTTTGTTAGCATCATCTACTTCTAACTTAAATTGGCAAGATAGGGGGTTAAAGTTGCCTTTCCACTTTGTATGATCTGTTGATAACTTCTCACTGACTCCTGTAAGCAGTACATGAGAAATTTCACGAGTTTTCTTTTGGTGATTATACACCATAACTGTAAGTGCAGGCTAGTTTCAGTGCTCCAATATTTCAGGGTTTGTTGTCATACCAACTGATAATATAATTTTACATCATGATCACAAGGGTCAGTAAGAGGTGTGGGGATCCATTTGTAAGATTTTCAAAGACGTAGAAATCATCTGCCACCTTTTATATTTCTCTAAAAGGGACATAACTTGATGAGATATGCTATAATTCATTCAGCTATTCCATTCACACAGGGTGAATCTCTCTTACTCGGTGATCTGATGGTGTTGTTAAGTGCAGTTGGTGCCAGTGAATTTGGTGGATTAACACCAGCATTCTGCGGTTCACATTGTCTGCGGTACAAAGCCATGATAGAAATAAGACG